TTGTAAATAGGGAAGGGTGGAGGGGGTGAAGGGAGGGCTAGGAATGGGGAAAAAATAAGAACCAAGATGCATCATGTAAAGGTACAATTCCCAATGAGAAATGTAATTGTGTTGTATACCTAAAATGTACCAATAAAAGAATTTTTTTAAAAAAAGAAAAAGAAACAATCCTTATGCCCACAGACGAGGATGTACTTATGCTCAGAGCTCAACCGCTGCTCACTTCTAGAGCCAGGTTGTTCTGTCAATTCCACCTGGACAACATTACCTGAGAAGAGGAAGTGGACAGCTCCCATAGGAAAACCTTATGCTGTAACCAGAAGTAGAAGACCTAGAGCAATAGTAACAGTAAAGAAGATACTTTGGTACTAAGAAGATATTAGATATTGTGGTAGATTAAATATGAATACAAATTTCTTACTGCTTTCTCCACCGAACAGTGGAGTTTTATTTGCTTCACTTTGATTCTGGGCTGGCTTTAGTAACTTGTTTGATGAAAAGAATCTAGCAGAAGAAATATTCTGGGACTTCCACTACTAAATCACGAGAAGCCTTGCAATTTCTGTCTGAAATGTCCAAGCACATTTTCTGTAAAGAAATTCAAATAGCTACTCGTGGGCTTTGGAAAAAATATTAAACTCTTTAAGCCTCGGCTTACTTATTTACACAATGATAAGCACTCAATAACTGTCAGCTACTGCCTAATTATTATTCTCTCCTTAATCTGTATTGAAGTGAATTCAGTAATATAGGGATAGAATTTGTCTTACTTTCCCTTTTATGAAGGATTATTTTATAAGATTTCAAAACTAATAATGTTAGCATCCGCTATTTATAATCTTATTATTGGCTAAATCACTAATCAACTAAAATATTTCTAATAGAAAGTCTTACAAGAAATAAATTTGATGTTCTATGACTTTGGGGTCAATGTAGGAACATTCAGTGGTGATATTTCCAGAAGTTGCTTTTCAAGCAGGGCTTTTCTGAAGTTACAAATAGCTGCACACTAATATCACTCCCAGAAATACCACCTCTGCAATTTGGAGAATTGAATTATTGTTATAATTTAGTAACTGTTATAACTGCAAAGACAGAATTTCAGGAAATACACTCTCAGATTAAGTATATCTAAAAATGCCACAATAAAGAGGAATTTATGCATATTATATAGTCACTGGTTTTATCTTACATGCATCTTTCAAATGAGAGGAAACAGTAAATCAAACCCTGACTGACATACCAACTTACTTCCAAGTAGCATTTACCAATGTCCATGTTCTCACTGCTCTGACTTTTTGTATGTCACTTAGTGAGCTTGGATTACTCAGGCATGAGTGGGAAAAAGATTCTTTCTCTCAGTTCTTGGGAACATCCTTCCATCAGGTGCAGATGAGGAGGGGAATATTGTCCTAGTTGCTTGAGGAAATTTCACCATCTGTTGGTTGCATGTGCTTCATCAACTGAAGTGACCCGGTCTGATACAAACTCAGAGGCAGCCCGACTGTTCACTCCAGGAAAAATTCTCTTTTTACTTGGAGCTTTTGTCAGTTCCACTGCCAAACACCAACTTTCTTGAAGTAAACAAAACTTGCGTCTGAGCCACTGGTGCACCAGTTTCCAAACACTTACCTACAATGTATCCCTGACTACAAAAGATGTCCTAGGCTAAGCCATACTACATAAGCATCAGCCTTCAAATGTTAGCACACTGGAAGTAGGATTAATTGATCCACATGGGACAGAATATTGTTAATTGTACATTATATTAAATTAAGATCACTGCAAAAGCTCTAAATATTTTGAATCACTAAAATATTCATTGAGAACACAAACACTTTAAAATCATTAGCAGTTATTGATGGATTTGAAGGAAAAGGTATTTTCTGTCACTTGACTTAAAAGTTGTTATATTTTCTCCTTAACTTTATTAAATGGAACAGAATATGGTTATGTTTTAAAATTAACATTTATATACCCCAATATTTGAAAAGATTTTCCTTTTGATCATACTAAGAACAAATTTCCAACGCCTATATAGAAATATCAAAAGAAGAAAATGTACCTAACACAGTATCTAACACAAGTGACTCAAACTTGTATAGCAACCGTGTTTGAATCTCTATCATACCTCCTGACTTCTCTTCACCTAAAGTCCTTATACTTCCAAATCATATAAAGACTATGTGCTAAATGTTAGCATTCCGTATCAGATCATGACCGTGGCCATCATAAAATTTTTTACTTCATTCCTTCTCTCTCCTTTATGGAATGATTTAGATCCCTTTAAGCCTGATTACAAGACAAGCAGATGAAAAACAGGGAAAAGGAGAAACCTTCCTGAGAACAGTAGTATGCCAAGCTCTCACAGTCTGTGTGCTTTATTAATATACATAGCCATGAACCCTTAGCAATTTTAAACTAGCATATAGATTAGAGGGTAAAAGGATCTATACTTGGTCCCTGTTTATAGCTATTTTTGATGGTTCTGGGAGATATCATTTTTATTTCTCTCAGTGGTAAGATTATCCCAATGACTACCAATCCTAATTTTTCACTTAATTATGCTATTTTTCATCTCAAACCTTTCTGGAAGTGTTCTACAAAGGTAATGAATAATAAAAGACACATGTCATGTCCATTTCACACACACACATGCATATACATAATATGATCAATAAATTTTTAAATTTTTAATTGTAAAAAGAGGAAGACAATCTGCTTCACTTTACCATTGTTTGTGTACATTTTCTTATGCTGGCACTCTAACAATACCCAAAAAAAACCTAAAATGACAATATTAGTATATTAATATGTCAAGATATTTTTGTCAGGTAGAAACAGTAAGTCTTAACTCATGATTCTTAAACTATTGTAGATAGTAAAATGATGTGATATTGGATGACCTTTTTGCTGAAACATGTGTTACTGTCCTGAATAGTTTTTACTTTGAATTTACACACACAATTTGACATTATATGGAACAGTATTAAATAAAGGAAAATGTTTTCATTTAGTGGCATCCCTTGAAATATATTTTTAAATGGAAATATTATATTTTCATTTGTGACATCAGCAGGACCTGAATCACGTCCATAAGATGACAGACACTCAGATTTGTCTACAAAGCCACCTCTATATTTTTGATCCAGCTTTAAAAAGATCATGTTTAATAACTGCTAATTCCATAGAAGTTTTCTAAAAAGTCAAGAACCAAAATATCTCTTTTGGTAAACAATTTTATTTATGGTGGAATTTCCAAAATTTCTTATATCTTGAAATTATCCACAAAGTACTATTTAGTGCTTACATTAGAAAGATGCATTTCTTATAAGAAAAGATCAAAATGTATACCACTAGGCAGTATTAATATATTTTTATTTAATACAATATAACAAAAAAATTAAAGAAAAAAGTAAATGTTAAATATATTTAAAATTCCCTGTAACTGATGCTCAGATGTTAAAATGTTTTAAAGAAAAGAAAATATCTAAATATCAGAGACAATATTTTGATGAACAATATTTATAAAAAATATATAAGTTAAACATTGCAACAGGTTACCTTCAATAAATTGTCTATCAGAAGTAACATTTTTGGAACTTTGTATTTAAAGCAAAGTAGGCAAAGATGAAGATAAAGAAATGAAAAGGAGGAGACAGAAGAGAAAGTATTAATTGTAACAGTGACTTTTAGTTAAATATACTTTCTTATAAAGTGGCAAGGTAGTATTTACAAATTTACAATGAAAAAGGACTGTTATTTACAGGTTGTCTGCACATCGGGCCTCCTTTCTCCTTGTAGAAGGCCTTCCTGGCAGAAGTGATCTAGGCTGGACATTAGTTCATAGCACATGATACACAAGCCTGGTACTGGAGGCTCCTGGAGTTACAGGCTGTGGATCCGTGCTGGTGACTGGAGAGAGGGAGGCTGGCTCCTGGAGAGGCAGCCCTGGATGCTCTGAAGAGGTGATGCGATCCACTATGCTGGACAAGCAATCCAAACTGGATAGGGAGCTTTTGTCTGTGGCGTATACTAATGATACAAGGAGAAAAGCATTACAAGAAATTATCCCCAGATAGATGAGCTTGTTTGCCCCTTAAACTGTAGGTCAGCTCTTTTGACACCAGAGGTCAGGGGACCACAGAAAGCCTGATGTAGAAGTCACAGCAAATATCAGCAATTCCCAAGGGCGGAGGAGGGCGGTGTGGTAGCCCTTGGTAATATTTCAAGCCAAAATTGTGTGTGTGTGTGTGTGTGTGTGTGTGTGTGTGTGTGATGGGGATTTGGAGCAAAATATGTGTGTTTTACTCTGAAGTTTCCTCATAAAAATCATCACTTTTACTCTTTTCCCCAACCCTACCTGAAGAAGATTTCAATTTGATAACAGCGAATTATTATGCTCAATTGGTCTTTAAATGCTTCTCAAGTCATCACTTCTTACCATTTGATACATCAGGACAGTAGACGCTGTCAAAACTGCTGTTCTTTCTGGACCAGATGGGACTATTGCATTCAGGCTACAAGACACCAAAGAAATTTGTTTTCAGGTCTTGGCATAAGATGTTCTGACCTATGTCAAGGCCAAGCTTGTCCACCAGCTCCTTCAACTGAACACTCTCTCTCACGTTCACTGCCTTGATTTGGGACTGGTTATTCCTCTCCAAATTGCCAGGGCACTGAGGTCACCCCCTCTGCTCAAAGAGCAGAACAGCAGCAAAGGGAAGGGGGTGGAATTCAACAGCAATGTGCACTGGGTTAACCATGCAAAATGGATTGGAGTACAAGGAAGCTACACTAATTCTAAGGGAGAATATTTTCCCAGAGCAAAAACACATTAAATCCTGGCAGCACTGGGGTAAACGCCCTCTGAAAAGAATGTATGAACATCTCCTCACAGCCAGGCCACAGCGGAGCAGGACCACACTCCGGCCATGCTATATTTTTGAGTCTTCAGTAAGTTATGAAAGTTGGGGCCTGGTAACCCTTAGATGCTGATGTATGCCAGGGTCCATTGGTGGTAGATTTTGGAAATAAGCTTAATAAGGGAGAAAGCAACTGATCGCTCACTGGCAGTCAGCTCTCCCTCTTGCCAACCCTTTCTTACAATGTGCATCTAGAATCTGGTGAGGAAGTCAAAGCTAAAATCTCCTTCAACAGTCGTTTCCTGACACCTTTCTAGATTGAGGATACCTTTCTTCTCTTAAAACAACTCAGCAAGTGCCGCCATCCCACTACACCTGCTTTACAGGGGGTTTTAGGAGTTTTATTTCTAAGACTGTGGTAGCGGAGAGTGGGTGCCAGCGCCCTGGCTTACCATGCCGTCGGAGCAGTTGGAGGTGGGGCTGGTGGGCTCTGAGCAGCTTTGGCCCGGCAGGCTGTAGTAGTTCTCCACCTGCTCCCGCAGCAGCTCCTGCAGGCTCTCGATGTAGCGGATGGCGTTCCTGAGGATCTCCACCTTGGGGAGCCTCTGGTTAGGGTTGGTCGTGGTGCACCTCTTGAGCGTCTCGAAAGCCTGGTTGACCTTCTTCAGGCGTCTCCGCTCGCGCATGGTGGCCGCCTTCCGCCTGTCTATCGTGGTGGACTTCCTCTTACACGCCTTGCAGGCCCACATGAGGCAGTGGCCGGCCTGGTGGTGGCCTGTGGGCGCTCGCACGTGCTCGTCCTCATCCGAGCCCTGCAGCTCCGCTTTGTGCACCCCGAAGGCGGCCACTCGGGGCTCAAACTCGTCCCCAAACTCACCCTCGGGGGACGGGATGCAGGAGCCGTCGTAAAAGTACTGAGAAGGTGAGAACTGGCAGCCGTCCATCATGTCCATCCCGCGGAGGGACAGGCAGCACCCGGGCCGCCGCGGGGGAGAGGAGGGAGAAACTGGAACGGGCTGCGGCGGGCGGGCGAGGCCGGGGCGGGAGCCGGGTTAGTTTCTCCGGTAATTAGCGAGGGCAGACGCTGGTCGGCCTGGGTCGCCGGCTGGGGTTGGGGCTCTTTATATCTTCTTGGGGTGGGGGAGGGAGGCCGGCCCCAGTGGCCGGGAACTATTAGCATATCGCACCGCAACTCCCGCGGGGGCTGTCTGCCGGAACCTCAGCCTTTCCTCTGGAGACCGTCTGTCTGCTGTTTACTGGGCCTGCAGATGCAAATGGTTTTACTCCGTTTCTACCAGGCCGGGATGGTTCTCCAACCTGTTCACTGGCACACTCTAGATATCCTAATCCAGGGGGTCGTTTAAAGAGTGGAACAAACATGCACCTTGCGGCAATTACTCACGTTAAAAGAATAGCAATAATTATTACGATTATGATGATGATGATGATGATGATGATGATTACTCTCCACTATCAGCTGACACAGTCTCTCAAAGTTGCACCTGAAAGGTCACTTTGTTCTTAGAGGAGGTTATGTCTCTTTTTCACGAAATTTGTCTCAGGAGGCTTTTGCTTTTTCACTCTGTGGGCTAGAAAATGGTTGTGAAAGAGTTTGAAGTGACACTTTCAGCGGGAAGCGAATCTACAGTTTGTTAAAATCTATCTTGTATAGATGGCCATGCGTAGAGTTCTGATGAGACGGTCATTTCATAGGCTGTAGCTTACTAGGGCTGGGTGGGAAGCTTTCTTTTCCTAAGATGGGGCTCCTTGCATTTGTGATCCTCTAAAAGGAGGAGGGCTCAGGAGGCCCAGGTGCCAGGGAACACTCCTCCCTGCTTCCTTCCTAGCTCTGCCCGACAGCCGGTATTTGCTGAGTACCTCCTGCTTGGAGTCAGGCCTCTGCTAGACTCTGAGTCCCCCAAGCTCCCCGTGGAAAGTGTCTCTAAAAGTGTCCATGGAAGAAGTCCAATTTTAAATTGCAAACTTCTTTTCCAGTCTCCTTTCTCCCACTTTCTCTGCCCCACCCTACTGTTTCTACAGACTAAACAGCCAAGCTGGGCTTTGGGATCGCTAATTTTCTGCTTTCAGGCAAACTAACACCGTTACAGATGCATCCCAGCTGCTGGCACAGCATCCTGGGCCAGTGTAAAATTTCCAATTCTTCCAACCCAGAGTGACTTCACACACGTCAGTGGCAAAAGCCTTCCAGAAAGGCAATTTCAGCAGGGTCTTGAAACTTTGGTGGGTAGCAGGGAAGAGAGGGCTTCCATTGAAGTAAAAAGAGTTTATCAATCACCTTTTACAAATTCTCCTCCACCCTTAACCCAATTTCAGATTTTGGAGTGGGGGGGGTGCTGTTTATATTTAGGAAAAACAATTACTTATGTTCTATACAAACATTCTGGGATTTAGGACTAGGGCTTGTGACTCCATTGAAAGAAAAAGGAGAATTCTCAATTCTGCCTGGCTCATCAAATTTAGTAAGTGTCCTGGAATGTTATTTGGGAAGAGAAGGAGATGTATTTGTGCTCCTATTTTGCAAAATCACCTCCCCTGTTGGCTGATCTGGCATCTGCAGGGGCACAAGTAGCTGGAACTTTTCCTAGGTGAAATTATTTGGAAGTGAAGGTCCAGAAAACCAGCGGTAGAAGAGTGACAGTGTCAGTCTTTAAAAGTTGCTAACCAAGCCTGCGTTCCCTGCTCTGCCCGCATTCTCTCTCTCTTCTATCCCCTCTAGACCCTTCATCCCCAAGAAAGATTTCCCTTGAAAATCAGACTCCCTCTCACATGGAGGGGCTGCTTAATGGTCTGTACCTTATTTAGGCTTATTGGTCAGTATATGCCTTTGAAATGAATACAATACCCAGGGGTACACCAGAAAAAAGTAAAGTCCCTGGAGGACTCACGTTCCTCCAGCACACTGGTGGAAGTATTTGAATGCATAGCACATTGTTACCTCTGAAATGCAATAGTGGGGAGATACCTTCATCCAGAAATCCTCAGCCAAGTCCCACAGGCTCTAGTCTGCAACCATATGACCACTTTTTCTTCCTGTGTAGTGTATTATAGCACATCCAAAGCAGATAAAACAGAGTTGTGATTTGGACACATATGAACTTGGCCCTTGAAGTGGAAGACAGAGGTTATGCTTCTGTCTGCCTTTCAGCTAATTCCTGAAAGCATTTAAGGTGGTTTGTACCCAGTGCCTTCAGCATGGGTGTATGTCGCCAACAATTATTGAGAGTTTTCTATTTCCCAAACACTGTTCTTAACCTGTTTCATGTATTTATTCAATTAATCTTCCAAGGACCCTCTGTAGGAACTATAATTGGGCCGAATTTTTTAAAAGAGAGTAAACCAAACTCTAGAGCTTGGGTAATTCGTCCCAGGTCACACTGGATTATTGAAAACTAGGCACATCATCCTTAGAGATCGTGCTCTTAGAGGTGATTTTGTTGTTTTCTTCAATCAATTCAGACTCTGCGCTTTGAGGCAGAGCAGAAACTCACAAGAAGCTGAATCCTGGACATTTTGCCCTCAGCTCCTGTCCCTGGGAAGACACTGTCACTCAGGAGCAGTAGTTCTCAGAGGGTAGGGCTGTCTTTGGTAAGGTGATCTCAAAACAAATTTACCAGAGTGCCTGGGGCCAGTGGAACTAAAGAAGCCAAGAAAACACAAGCGCCTAGAGGCTTAATGAGACCAGCCAGGGCCAGGAGGGGGGACAGGGTCCTGGGTGGAGGGCCCTTGGGACTTGAGTGCTGAAAGTAGCCTCTCTGGGCAGCAAAGTAAAACATGAGACAAATTTTTAAACTTTTGTTGGGGACTAGTGAAGAAAGAATTCAAAAAACAAGAAACAGTACAAAAGAAGGAAGGAAACCTGCGCCTCAAAGATGACAGAGGACCCCAATTCAGGAGTCCTTACTCTTTTTCTCAGGAGAAAGCTTGAGAGAAAAGATGGAGAACTGGCAGAGCCACATGGAGAAAACATTTTTGAATGGAGAAACTGAACAAAGAAGCACAGGAAAAATTAAAATTTGCTTTTAAAAAGATGAACTAGTTGCCAGTGTGCCGTTTTACTCACCACACTAGATTGGATTTTGTGCCTTAAAATATGTTTTGCTTCCCACTATTCATTCAGAGAAGTGAATTTCTTACATACAGAGAAAATTCACATTAATTTAATATGTAAACAGGTTGTTAGAAATGATATTCCAATGCTGCTAGGAAAGCCTCATCTCATAGTAAACAGATGAGGGAAAGAAAACAGCCACACCCAGACTACTTACATTTTCAATATTTACATTCTGGTCAAGAACAGATATGTGTTTAATTTTCTAACAGCTTAGACTTATATTTTTCAACTGCAATGACCTTTAAGTCATCATCAACTTTTTCTTTTAACAGAACCTATGTTGATTTAACCATTATGACAACACAACACAATAAAACTAGTGTCGGTGGACAGGTCACATCAGCAAAATGATGCACATCACTCTTTGCCGTATACTTTGCCCACCCTAAGAATTCTGTATTACTGAAAATGCTGTATGCTTCTCTTGGAGAAACCAAATGCACATAGAGTGATTAACCTATTTCAATTCACTACCCCTACCTGCAGACCCTTACCAACTTCTACACAATGAGAGTTATTCTTGAGAGTTTTGCGTATTATAGATGACTTCACAATGTGCTAAATTTCAAACTGCCATTAGCTTCGGGAACTGGGCACACCTAAGTAAACAAATTAGTACCTGCCAGAGCTGCTGGAAGAATTTGTGGAAAAGACAGCTGAGGAAGACATTGGCCTCTGCTTGAATTCAGAGACTTCCAAGAGAGATCAAAGGACTAAGTAAGGACATTTAGCAGCCTTGAGAGTACAGAAAGTAGCAGGTTCTTACAGCATTATCTTTGTTCCAGCACATGGCATAGCCATTGCTTCTTACAGAGTGACTCTGAACTAGGCTTGCAAAACAATTGCTATTAGCACACAGACTCCTCTAGGACCAAGGATCCTTTTTTGTGTAAGTGTAATTAGTTTGAGGGAATGACTGGAGAGACCAATGGGAGAAAATACCAAATTATTGCTAATTTACTAATGCACTGGATTAAGCAGTGAGATATTCAAAGTAAAGCATTAAAAAAATCTTCCAGGTATAGTGGTTTGGGGGGGGAGGCTTTGAAATGAAGAAAGGGGATAGCAGAAATGGTAAACTCTTCCAAATTTAAGTAAGTAATATCTTAATAAGGATAAGGTCACTTTTAGTATTCCAAGTTTTCTTTGCCAGTGCCAAGAGCAGTTGAGAACACTGAATTTCTGCATTCTCCCAACCCTAAAAGCATATGAATGAGTATGGGAGAGAAGTGAGACCTTCTGCCATAGTGGATTTCCACAATGTCCAGAATTGGAATTTAATTTCTGTGTATGGCAATTAAAGTTAGTTTGAAAAAGCTGACACTTGATGTTCCACAAATTATTTCTATAATAATATAACAGAAAACAACCCATTATTTTATACTTGAAAACTTTATACAAAGCTCTGGAAAGAGGCTTGGATTCAATCCCAAACTGTTTATCTTTACCATGTTATTATGTCTTGATTTTCTGCTTCCCCAGCCTTATTTGTTTTGGCTTTGGCCTTGGTAAAGATTATCATCATTAATATCAAACAAAAACAATTTAATTGCAAACACACCAAGAATTTCATTGGAAAGTCCAGTATGTCAGCAGCTACAGCAGGGGAGGTCACATGAAGTCTTTGGGAAATATTTGCTCTATTTAATGAAGAGACTTCCATAGGCAAACTTATTCCAAACAATTTCTCAAGTTACCTAGCTAAGAAAGATAGAGAGGATTTGGTTTACAAAGACTGAATAAAATCCATCAACAAGTAGTCCATGAACGGATAAAAATGTCCTGCTGCTGTACAATTTATAATACAAATCTTACTATACATATAAATACAATCATAAAGAAAATGAATGTAACCTAGTCAATTATGATGTATTATTTTAGTTGTGTAATAAATTTGATTTCAAAAATATAGGTGTATATATACATTTTAGGGCAAATTCTTACTTATTCTCAGGAAAAAAATCCATAGATATATAATATGCATGGTTAACGGGGGATACACACCATTCAGATATAGTCACACACATCTTGGTTGGATAATTTGGTTGGTAAATAGTTTCTCATTTATTTCTCAGAGAAAGATATTCTAATTTGGAGTTCAGTAGCTAACCACTGTGGGGAAAGAGCTTTTGGGAAACAATAGTCAAAGTGAGCCAAATTATTCTACAGACCATAAAATGTGCCTACGTTCCCAAGGCTACTCTTCCAGAGTGCATGGCAGTTGAGAGCAGAAGCTTGCAGCCATTGATAATTGCCTGGCTCTGAGATCTGGCTTTCTACTTAGCAGATGGTGGGACCACTCTATTCCAAGGAATCCTCTTCTCTAAAGTAGAAGTAGTAACAGTACCTCTCTTGGTGGTTGTTTTAGGATTATGAGTTAATACAAAACCCACTAAAAATGTGTCATTCACACTGCTGCTGTTCTCCTTGTAAATATTTTTCCCAGCCAAAGCCAGCAACGATTGAAGGAATCATGGCTTTTTGTAGAAAAGAAACTTCTCAATGGTTAATTTAGTTTTACTAATGAAAAAATAAAGAGAGTTGGTATCTAGCACTTATTTTGTGCTCTTTTGGCTTCATGTGTGTTATCTCAGTGAATCTTCACCACCCTAAGAATCAGGCTCTATTATCTACCCCATTATTTCATAAATGAGGCAACTTTACTAAGAAGGAACAGTGACTAGTCCAGGGCAACACAATAGCAGCATGAATTTAATCTGGGCAGTCAGCTTCCTGTAAACTCAACAGTTGCATCCACTGAATCTTCCACCTGTCTCTCTCAAGACTTTAAAGGGTATTATATGTCAATGTCCATTTCCTCTATGAATTCGTCTGCATTTTAACAGTAGTTCAGAATGAACAGAATTATCCATATGCCAATTAAGCAAACTACAGGTGGAGCATACCTAATCCAAAAATCCAAATTCTGAAATACTCTGAAATCCAAACATTTGGACTGCTGCCAGAGAACTCAAAATGTTTCAGATTTTGGAGGATTTCAGATTTTGGATTTTTTTTTTGGATTAGAGATGCTTAACCACAAAGTCTATGCAAATATTTAAAAATCTGAAACAATTCTGGTCCCAAGAATTTCAGATACATTACCTCCAGAAAGAGGCATTCTTTTCTGACCAGAGAAAGGGGCAAGATTTAACTGCACACCTGCAGAGGCCTCTGTCTGTGGCACTTTCTGAAACTTCTTCGGGGTCCAATAAAGAATAAGGTCCAGCCCTTTGAGGGTTAGGAAGCAAGGTTGGGCTGCAGAATGCTGAATTCTATTTGATTTGAAGACCGCGGTAGGCTAAAAGAGAAGGGAGAAGTTAAGGAATAGGGGAAGGGAGTGAAGGAACTATTTACAGAATGTAAGAGAAAAGTGGTAATTCAAAAGAAATGGCTTGCTCCTGTCCCCCACCTCCCTTCCCACTGCGTTTCTCGGTGGTCGGTGGTCGTTTCTTCCTGAGGTTACTAGATAAACAAACCTGGCACACGTTGCAAAATCCTCACCGTGGGGAACTCCTGGGGCTTCTAGCCTCTCTGGGGTTTTGCTGTTTGGCCCAGCTAAGAGGTTTCATGTGTGTTGTTGTTGTCTTTTCCCTTCAGCCATTTAACCCTTCCCTGTCTTGAAGTAACTCCTTACCTCAAGAGACAGATTGTTCCCTTCTTTTATCTTTCTATTGGGAAAACAAACCCAAGCCAAGGAGGCCTTGTGGAGGATATTCCAGGCTGCCAGGGACCGGTCTAGTTCAAGAAAACTAGGAGAGGAGGCCAAGGCAGCCCTCTGGTACTCCAGAGCACTCTTGGGAACAGCCTGGAATGTCGAGGGAAACACGAATCTTGACTAACAGAACTGAAAGTCATCTGGGAAAACAAGCAGAGACTTTTGCTTGGGGTTCCTTGTAATACGATTTTGCTAGATTGAACATTCAATTGTTAATCTTGGGTAGTAGATTTTACCCAGACTGCCAAAGTACAGAACAGTAGAACAGAAAAGAAAAGATGCTAACAAAAGAAAAAATACAAATTCCCTCTTCACGCTCAATTCTAAGTGAGAGATCTACGTAAAATACTGAAGTGCTCAGTTTGATTCAGACAAAACAAAGCAACTCATTTTCCTGCCTTTAAATCAGCATGAAAGAGAAGACTCAAATAAACGGGCTTGTGTACTGTCTGAATTAAAATATTTCTCCTCTTTACTGTTGCCCTTAAACATAGTTTCTCAGCTGAATCAAATTAAGGCCAACTTTATTCATATAGAAACTTACTTTTAATATTACAATACCAGGATCCTCACACATTTTATATACAATCTATCATTCCACATTTAAAATATATTTCCAAGGTTTACATAAAAAATGAAAATACTACGATTATTTACAAAAATACATTTAAATATCACTAAGATTCAACTTTCCCACTTTGCTTTAGACAGGAATGAACTTCTTTTGAGTATGGCACAAAAGGATGACCGAAATAAAAGTGGATATATAACAAAACCAAACAACAAAAATAAGGGTGCTAGACCTAAGCCACTCACTGTTCCAAAGAATAAAAACCCAAAGCCAAAAGGCCTTTTTCATTTGAATGTGCACAACAGTTTCTTTGTGAGTATGTCTCTTTCCCTTTCCTAAGCTCTGGAGTCTGGTTCCTAAATATTAATGCAACGTGACCTAATCTAAAGGATTAGGCGAAGGGGTCTTCCGGGCTGGCGCAATTACTTCTCCACCACCTCGTCCAAGCACGGGAGCTTGCGCTCCTCCGAGGAAATACTGTCCACGATCGAAGAAAGGCATCGAAGGCTGCTCGAGGCTGAGGAATCGGTGCTTGCTCCTCCTAAGTACAGAAACAAACACACAGACCGAGCCCTCAGGGAAGATCGGACAGCTCTGCTCCTCCGCGGAGGAGCGATCGCTTCTCTCTCGGGCAGGGCTGGGCCCGGAGCTCACAGCTCGGCGGGCCCCTCGGGCACCTCAGCTCCCTCCCGGGATGCTCTCCGGTTCAGCCCCGGCTCTTTCTTTTACTTTACCTTCCTTAGCAGTTATCACCAGCCCCCTGGAATGATCACTTGGCCACTGGGAGCTGCAGGTGCGCAGGAAATCCGCACCCTCAAGCTGGGGGGAGAACCAAAGCAGAAGATTAAGAGAGAGGCAGAAATTCCGGGGGAAGGGGTGCTTTCTGGGGGTGTCTCCTCTGCTTCCTTGGGCCTGTACTCATTTCCTGCCTATTGCGGAGACCCGGACTTCTTGGGTCACTGGGGGTTCATTAAGTGAGCAGGAGGGCCAGGCGAGAAAGGGGGAGGGAGAAGGGACAAGGCGAGCAGCTGGAGGTTAAGGCCCTAAGAGGAGGCCTTTAATCAGACTTTTCATTCCATGCCCCGGCAGCGTCTGGGCTTACGATTTCTTGCTTGGGCCTGTAGCTGAAGGGGTCCACCCCCAGCTCCTGCATTTTCTCCTGCTGATCCAGCCGGTGCAGCAGGTCCTGCAGTCTTTCAATGTAGGTGATGGCGCTCCGCAGAATCTCCACCTTGGGCAGCCTCTGGTTAGGGTTGGCCACAGTCCTCCGCTTCAGCGCCTCGAAGGCCTCGTTGATTTTCTTGAGCCTTCTCCTCTCGCGCAGAGTGGCGGCTTTCCGCCGGTCGGTGGGGGCAGATTTTCTCTTACAGGTCTTGCAAGCCCAGATGAGACACTGGCCCGGGCAGTGGGGAGGCTGCAGGCCGGGGGGCGCCAGTACGTGTTCTTCTCCACTGCTGTCGCTCCCGGCTTCAGGGGGTATTTGGTCCTGGCAGGGGGACAGGGTACCATCACTCCCTGGATACAAAGGAGAGCCCTCTGCCACTTCTAAGGGCTGCAGAGTAACATTTTCCCCGTCCAAGTAGAAGAAATAGGAGCCAGTTTCGAAAAGGTCCATCATCATGTTCTCCTCCTTGGCCTCTGACTCTATCTGAACTGGGTGATGGGCTCAAAAACCCAGAGGAACCACCCAGATGGCATTTAATTAGTGCAGTGACATAAGGCGACCTAGCTTTATATATAGTAGCTCCTGAAACTCAATCCAACTTTTAGCTGTCATGGAGCATCAGTCTCCCAATGTGATTACAGCCACTGCTCTCTAGAACATGGAGTTTGAAAGAAAACTGAGAAGTGTCACCTCCCAGAGTGATGTGACTGTCTATGTGAGGAACAGGTTAAGAGGAAATACAAAGAGTCGCATAATTTAAACAAAGCCTTGAATGTTTCCATTCAGGACAGTTTAGACAGTAACCTCCTTACAGGACAACCTCAAAACAACTGGGGATTAACACTGTCCCGTTCCCCTCCCCCTGGGCTCATCTGAATTCTAAGTATAGAGTCATGATGAAAGATTTCAAAGGCAATAGCCATTGCTCCAAAATAGCCTGGTTAATATTTGCAGTGTGGTTCAGCTCTTTTCTCTCTTCTGCCTGTCAAAAAGTTGCTATTCCTGTGATTAAAACCATTACAGTCCTTCAAAGGTTATACATGACTTTCATGCTTCAGCCTCAATAGAAGCAGGTAAATCTCTTTCCTCTCTTTTACTAAGGCTGTAGGATGAGTTGGGAGCTGGTGGGGTGGCTGAAGGGTGCTCACCTCACATGTTGCTGTATGAAGTGACTCTGACTTTCTGGATCCTTCTATGGTTACAGTTTCTTTTTCCTGGAGAAGGGCAACCGGAATTTGAATTGTTTCCTTTCATGGTAGAACACAAGAAGGAGATAAGAAGTACAGGCTGAGATAGATGATGGGATGCAATATGTGTAATTACTCCTCTTTAAAAATAGTTGTAGTGATAAGATTCACACCATAGCTACTTGATATATCAGGGTGTACCTGGGGCCACCTCCCAAGTGCTTCTGCTATGTCCCATGCTGTGCACATCAGGAGTTGGGTGCTCCCTAAGTTGTCATTCACATTCTGTTTATTAACTTCGTATAAGTTGTTTGATAGGATTCAGAGGAGAAAGTTAGCAACCAAGGCACAAGCAAGAAAATATGATTTTTTTTTTTTTTTTTTTGGTACCGAGGATCGAACTTGGATCCTTGCGCTTGCACAGCAAGCGGCCAAACCACTGAGCCAAATCCCTGGCCCAAAAATAGGATTTTTGATTGCAGCTTGTCTGTGGTTCAACACACACACACACACACACACACACTCACCCCTAAGTTTTTTTTTTTAATTTAATTTTATTGGTACATTTTAGGTATACAATATAATGACATTCATCATTGGAAATTTGCACCTTTACATGATGTATCTTGGTTCTTATTTTTTCCCCATTTGCCTGCCCTCCCTTCAACCCCTCCACCCCTCCCTATTTACAAAGACTTTGTTTCCATTTTTTCATTTTCTCATATTAATTCCATTCCCTTCTTTCCTTTCCCCTACCCCTCCCACTTCCTTCCCCTTTGCCCCTTTTTTTCCTATTTCACATTATCTATTATACCTTTTCACCCCACAGTTTTTGGTAAGCAATGTATTGCAAAAGCAAAGGGCAGGTGCCCTAGTTTCTATCTAGTTTTCTTTGAGTCCTAGCTAGGTTGACTTCTACCTATGTTTCTCTAAGTACCAGGCCTCAGTTTCTTCAGAATAATAGTGGCTGCCTTATAGAGTTTTGGTGAAGATTCAATCAAACAATATGTGAAGCATATAGCTGCTTGATGAATATTATTTATCATTTATTACATAAAACTATTGTCAAGGATAAGACAAATTCTAACGCAGAAAATAAAGCACAGCTGTTGTAGAGATTTTTCTCTCTTTCTTCGGTGGTTGTTTCTTTTCCCTTTTGGTCCCTTTATTTGATTTTATTTCCAGCCCTAGAGCTTTGAAAGGACTCCTGCTGCTGATAAGTTGTCTTTGGGATGGCAGGCAACCTTGGTTTTGGCCTTTGTAGTGAGTGCCTGAAAAACAAGATGGAAAACATCAGGTTTTATTATTCTACCTCAAGCAGTGATGATTATAGACTCTCTTTCCTATGGCTTCATATTTAAAAAATAGAGTGAAGAAAATGTAAGGAACCAACTGTCAGATAATTTAGAAGCTAGTTAAATTTTTACTTCAAGTTGTTTATTCCAAAGTTCATTCTTCACAATCTCTATTGAGCCACAGACTTTGCATATTAAGTTTTGAAATTTTTGGCTGTTGATATGTTTTTGTTACTGTGTAGCCGGTTATTCCTTACCAAGTCTGAGAACTATTCTTACATTTTTGGAATGGGTAGGGAACACAGGGAAGAACAAGATAAGCCAGTACATTTCTTGGTGCTGTTTTATTCCATTTCTACCAGTGACCTGGGTGGCAGAAAACAGATCAAGGGCTTCAATGACTCGGTTTATAATTTAACATATATTGTGGAAAATGAACTTGTGCTTTTAGTAAGACTTTATCCTTTCTCTCATAAATATGAAAAAAATTTGAAGACTTATTTTCGAGCCAGTAGAATTATATAGCATTGCTGTTCAAATTATTAAGATAACAATGACTGAAATTCATTTACTCAACATTTATTTGGTATCTACTAAAGTTAAATTGTTTCCTGGTTGCTCAGAATAATGTAGTAAAGTAATAATCCCTCTCCTCATGGAGTTTGAATTTAGAGGGAGGCGTGACATTGACAAAGACATAAAACATGGAGAATTGGAATATGAAAGGTGTTCAATATAGTTGTTTTTGGCCTTTGGATTCTTAGAAAACCCTAATATCTCAAATCCTTACATTTTAATCCATAAAACTTGTGTAACAAAGATTTCCATACTCTCAAAGTTGTTATAAAGATAAAACTTTTTAAAATATGAAATACTTAAAAATGTAGCACATTTGGGGAGAGTAGAGGCTAAGGAGGAATGAGGACAGGTTGGTCAATGGGCACTAATTTACAGTTAAATAAGAGTAAGAAGTTGCAGTATGCTACTGCACAGTAGGGTGACTACGGATAGCAATAATTTACTGTGTGTTTCCAAAAACTAGAGAAAAGATTTTAAAAGTTTATACCACATAGAAATGAAAAATGTGTGAGGAGATAGGTATATTTAGCCTGACTTGAACATTATACAATATGTGCATGTATCAAAACATCACGATACCCCATTACAATGTAAAATTTTATGCTTTTTATGCATCAGCTAAAACTAAATTTAAAGACTATACCTTATAAAAATCCTTCATTACTGAAATTATTCGGTAGAGAGAAAGGTGAGGCAAGAAAAATATAACTACCAAAGAATTTTAAAGCTTGAGTAACAGAAGTAACATTTAAGGCACTACCATTCCTAGACTTGCCGCTGATTTTTAGAGGTATCAGGTAGATGTTAGAGAGTCTATATATCATTAACTTGCTAAAGGATGAGAAGATTCTTTCCTTTCCATCTATTCTTTTATTCATGTGTCACCACTAGAGAAATGTTGAAAAAGAAGATTTACAATAGAAAAAGCTTTGGGAAGCTAAGAGCAGCCTCACAGATAAGAGTGGCTTTTCTTTGTGTAAACTCAACTTTCACCTGTTGAATTCTCATGTATTGAATTACAAGTCTCCTTTCCCTTTTCTCACAGCTCTAGAACTCAGGCCAGAAAAATTAGTATTAGTACTCCCCTTGGTAGATTCTCCTTTTTCTTCTTATTTTTCAGGGGATTGAGTGGAATAAGCAGGAGGAGGGAACAAGAAAATGCCAGCTTGGAAAATAACCATCCTTTATTCAATTAGGTCAATAGGAAAACACGCACTGGTTCCAAACAACCAACTAGTGAAGATTTGGAACTCAAGCTGTTTACAAAATGTGAGATGCCTGTAATTGCAATTACTTTATTCTCAGTAGCATTTGGAGACAAAGATCTTGAAAAGTGGTCAGAACAAGTTGACATAATCTGGACCAATACAAGCTTTAAATATGTCAAATATATTTTAAAAACAATAGAAAATTAAATAATAATAAGGGAATAATTATATTGTCACTAATACATCACTCCAAGGGCCTAGAATTCACTCATAATAAAATCTGAGACTAGTAAATGATAGAATTGGAAATTTTCATGTAGTTTACCATTGTATTATTCTTGTTTCATATCATGCTTAATTATTTAAAAATGTCTGTCTTTCTGTCTATCATCTTCAAAAAAGTTTAAATACGTCCCATTCCTCAGTGTGGAAAGGAGTGTAAAGAAAAGGATTAGCTATCTCAGTTAACAGTGGAATTTAACTAGGAGCCTTTAGAAAGGTAAAAAGAGAATCAAGTTTTGGATCAAGACAGAATCTACGTTCAAGCCATTCTTTCTCACATTTCAAGCTTCAGTTTTATGAGAGATCAATCCCTATATTACAGGCTTATTAACAAAAAATAATAGACATAGAGTCCATGATAGAATAGGCACTCAACAAATATCAATTCTCTTTCTTCTCAATTTAGAAGGCCTCTGATTGAACTAGCCACGGTGAATTCGTTGAAAAACAAAAACAAATGAACAAAAAACCCCTTTTGTGGCTCTAAAGAGTAGAAGGTAAAGAAAGCACCTATTGACTAAAAGGTACAATTCAGAAGAGGTAGATTAGTGCTTTAAATTCGTGGCCACTAAGTGAGTAACATGAATCTGTGCACTTGTAATTTACTTAATCTGCAGATCGTTTGTGCCCAGAGATTCCCACACACTGTGGTAAAAATAGTTTTGCACTTAGACTGACAGAAAATGTGAGTCACTTCAAGGAACATGGGGGAGGGGCACAAACCAAGCAGAGGAAAAAGAAACATCTTAAAGGCGATTACCCTGCAATTTCCATAGGGCAGGAATGAAGAGTTATGCGCAGAAATGGGGCTGGACCCAAGGAGGGCTTCCAGTGATGACTTGCTATGGAGGAGCCTGTTATAGACAGCCCCAGGGAAGTGAGTAGAGGGGAAGGAAAGAGAACCAGAGGGGCTCACATCTGTGCATAAAGCTCTTGTCTATTCTTTGCTCTCATTCCCCACTCCCATTC